TGTTGTTCCCTGGACTCAGGCGTATGCCGTCTGCTCGCCACACGGTGAAACGATCTACTTTTCAGCTGTCCGAAGGCATGCTATTTCTCCTTTACGCTAGACCGAATAGGTCCTCTTGTATGAGCAGTTCTCATGGATGGCGGCGAAATGATCATCCATCCATTTTGTCGGTGCCTCCTCAGCTGGCTAGCCGCCGCAGCGAACCGTGAAGTTACCTTGGGCTAATGCGTATGTAGTCTGCTATCCACACAGTGGACTGATCCGCTTCTCAGCTGTCTAAAAGCACGCTGTATCTCCTTCGGTTTGGGCCGGACTCGTCATGCGCGCTCATCTCTCGTCGGTGACGTCTGATTGGGTCCTTTTGCGTGAGTGGTTCTCATGGATGGCGTCTGATTGATTATCCATCCATTCTGTGGATGATGGGTCAATGTAAGGCTATGTCTAACTAACCGAACGTCACAGGTGCGTCGTGCAGGTGAGTGGGTTGCCCACATAAGCGTTACTCGCAGTGACGTTCAAACGGCGTTAAAGGTGGAGTGGGTGTTCAATTTGAGGTGTCTGATGTGACACTTGATCGATACTTGCAGCAATATTCAAATATAATCATTTTCGCCTTAGTAACGTACATGCCACCCCGATTGGTAGCGGCTTGCTAAGGTATTCGTAGCTATGGTGACCAATCCTGTCCTCTGCACCTCCATGACATGCATGACAGTGGATGATAAGCCACGCCATATCGCAGTTAAAAATGTCATGGCGGTCCTCGCCGCCACCCGTTACTCAGTGACGTAAGTCACTGACTTTTAGATTGAGGTCATGAGTTCAAATCCGGCAGATATGCGCTACTAACGGGTCCCGATAAGGCGAAACCACTGTATGTCGCTTTCCTGCATGTGTGATAGCTTTCTGGCTGAGTCTAGTTTTGACGAATCTGCTCGCTAAAAAGCAACAAATCCCCCACAATTCACTGTTACTGGCATGGTTCAAGGGACGGGACGGCTGACGCAGTGCAACGATAATTAGGCCTTAGCTAGACTGATTGTTTATGAGTCTGACGATTATCAACACGGTTGGGTTGACTGTTTGAGACAGCGAGATTACGTGCTGAAGGAATTCGTAGTCAATCCACTGTTATATCATCTAGATCGAATGACCTGGATAACATGATCGTATAGTGAGTTGCTCTCATGGTGTATAGCTGATTGCAAGCAGATCACTGTGGTCGTACTGATGCAGCGTTGAGTACAGCAGTTAAGCTGGTATAAAGGGATCGAGATCAGAGCTTGGAAAGAATTTCTTGATACTGCTGGGTCATAAAACCAAAGATCATATTGACATTTCAAGGCACGCTAATTCCAATTTCAAACCGCGCCCTTATTGTGTTTCCTGAGCGCTGTGGGATGCTGCAGCGAATTTGTTTGAGAACACAACATCTTAGCCTTTGGCAGAATAACGAGAAAAATAAAAAGCAAGAACTAACCCTGAGATTGTTGATTTCCGGAAAAATGTATGCCTTAGTCACTGATGCCAGTGACATAGACATCTGAGGGGTCTTGACGCAAAAATATGAGATTACTGGGTACGCTGACATTATTTTCAGAGCATCGGAAGGCAAGTGCTCGACGACAGGGAAAGGGTTTACCACAATTATCTTGGCTTTGAATAAATGCGGCCATGCATTCTGGGTCAGTGGTTTCTTATCCAAACGGAAAACAATCTTTTAAGTGGTTTAATTTCGTTATAAAATACCTAAATGGGCACTGCGCCTTCAGGAATATTATTTCACGATCAGCCGTATACATGAGAAGGACATACAAGTCAACATTTTGTTACGCGTGACAAACGCGGATGACTCGCGGAGCGTTGTTTTTTGGTATTAATGGAATACTGTTGAGGCCGGATTCCTGACAGTGGTTATGCGTGACATTTGCAGGTGCTCACAACTGTTTGGCTCATTGCGCATCAATGGGCGCATCGTGTGGTATGCTTGCAGTTTCTTTCCTTGTGGTTTGTTAGGCCCGGCTGCACATGACGCGAATGTTACCAAGGCGCCTGTCCGTTTCATAATGATGGATCCAGAAGGCAGTGAACATTACTGTAGCAGACAGGACATACATTCCTCGTGAGTCACGCTAGGCTCAACGTGTTGTTCCATCGTCCAACAAGCTACGGGCCAGTCACCAGTCTGTGTGCGTTGCTTGGTACACGTGTAGCTCCGATTTTCACCTCTATGAAGTGTAGATCAACAACAACTGCCATCCACATCGTTTCAAGTTTAATTTCTCCTCGTCCACACTGTATAAGGGGTATGCGCCTGGTACAGTCTTGGGTATCATGATCTCCATGAAATGTGCATGCGCCCATTCGCCATGATCACGACTCCCTGAGACCAAACCACCAGCTAATACTGTGTAACATTTACGCGCCCCTATAATGTCAGATCAGCCGAATAGCTATCCTCCTGTGTGCATAAAGCTCTTTCTCAAACTTTATTGGAGTGATTCATTGTCCCTATTATAAATTCCTCCGTTATGCAAACTTTTTGCCCAATTCGTCAATCCTGTCCTGTGTTTGTAATTGTCTGAACCACATGAACTTTGCGAATTCACCTCACTGAGGCTCGGTTATCACCTTATTACATCATCGATTTTGTCCCCAGTGTGTTTGCATTGTCCACTCATTGACTCATTCTAATGTTGCTGTGTGTGATGCACTAAAGTGTTACTCCCGACATTTCATATCATACACTTGCTTGGCCTATTACATCGTTGAAACACTGCTGCACTTGTAGCCTATGCGTGCGATTCACTCATCCTTACGCCGTACCTATTATTTTCTGACAGTAAGACATTTTCTTTACTTCACCCGTCAGATCAAATTGTCGCGTATTTAGGCTACACTTGTACACCTGCCATATTGGAACTATCTTTGTTTGTTAATTGATTCGAATTGTAGACTGTTGCTACCTACTCGTGCTGGAGCCGCTCAATGCTGGGGTTTGCACTGCGTTATACTATAATCTGCTTTGCAGTCAGCACCGATTCAATTTTCGAAACCCTGTTTTCGAGTTAAACCCGTGCTGATGCGTTGCTCAAGACCTTCTTAGCAAAGCTGTTGCTTGCAGCTATTAACCCAGTATGAAATGTAATTGTTTTGTTTCGGCAGTCTGTCGGCACCCAACCATTTCTTTCATGAAAGAGCATAGATCTCCACCTGACCATGTGTCACAGTTGCAATTTTGAATTCTGAAACATCTTGAGCTGACCATAGGTGCACGTCTGGCTGGCTAGCCGAACAACCTCCTGGCGGTGCCAGCTGAGTGTTCGGGTTAGTCCCGTTCTAGCGAATAGTTCGGTAGCAGTGTTCCAGGACGTAATGGGTTTCCGCCTGGCAAGGGTTCTCCCTATAAAAAGCCACCAGTGTCTGTCTAACAACACTGCGTAGTTTCGGATGTGACTCGCCACCAAATAAACTCGCTGCTACTTGCCCTTACGAAGGATCATACCCACATCACGTACGTCATTTAATTCGAAGTCTTCCTTTGATCTTTCTTCGATGGAGAACCCGGCAAACAAAGCACAAATTCAGAGTCACAATAACAAATGCACTAAACTTGACTACTTTCATATACGCACAAACCACTACATGCATACATACACATGCGTTACTAGTTAACCTGAAATGCTTTTGCGCATTTACCGATCATACATGTTAGTATTACGACGATCCTGCCTTTACAAGCGTGCCTCGCGCCGCAGAGAATAAACTGTTTATTTATTTATTTGTTCATTGAATTGATACCTGTGGCTATTATCGACAAAGGTTACCGTGAGGTCTCACCCACCTCCAACTGCGAGACATCGCAGGTGACCAATGACGGCGCCCCAGCCCAATAACGCCGCGGAATCTGAACACTCCAGACAGTAAAAGTCTAGAACGGTCGGTTTTTTTTACCCCAGTACCCTGTATTTGAAGTATTTGCTATAGTCCAGGTTAGATTCAATAGAAAAATCCTATAGCATCGTTCCCTAGCTAGGAGCATTCCCTAATCGTCAAACGTCTATAACAGTCACTTAAAATGTCAGCTAGACATACTCGCTCTACCACGGTTTTCCAGAAAAATGCAGCAACTGTTAAGGCTCCAATTTTCCAAAATCCATTAAGTCACCCGGGCTGAAAAATAAATCGGATAAAGTGATTTACTCGTTGACCAACACGCTTGCCGAAATCAAGTATATGCAAGATGAGCTGGATTTGCTCAAAATAAAACTAGCTTCTTTTGACTATTTGCACACAACCCTGCAAACACTTGAACCTGACTCTCCTGCTGCAAGCGAAGGTAAACCCAAATAGGGATGGCCTTAAACCTTCCAGTGTCTTCATTTAAACTATTGCAACAGAAGTATCTAAAAGTGTGGTGTACTCAAAATGTAATAGAATTCAACTTACCAGATAAACTGCCTACGGAATCACTAGGAAAAATCCTGCATAAGGCAGGTAATATGGAAGGCAGTTGGTGCTACTGTATTACTAGAGTATTGCTGGATAGCACCTGGACCCTTAGTCCGCGCAAGAAGTGAATAAAAACACACCGGATGGGACGTGTCAAAAACTGTAATGGTAGCTTGTAGGTTACACCAGATGAATAAGTCGAAAAGGAACCAATCAGCACAAGGAAAAAGAGTGGGCGAATCAGCTATCGGTCAATCGATCTGTATGTGTCTATGTTTTGCTCATCGGTTTAGCAGACGACACACATGTAACATCCCCTCACGTGACAGATGGAATCACAGTTGTGAAATGTAACATTCTATCGGCTTAGGTGAGCGGTGCGGTTTCCGAATAGCAATCGGCTGGTCGATTTCTTCCGTTTGGTTTTTGTTTGTCTCCTCCAGATCTTCTGGAACCACTTTCTCTTCCCCAGGGTACGGTGTGACTGGGATGCGGGGTCGGATGAAATCATTGTGCCTGCGTATTGTCTCTCCACTCTCTGGTTGTAATTAGGCCTCCGTTTCTGGGCTCGTAAGCACGGTGTCAGGCTGCCATAACTGCTCATGTGGTAGTTTCGTGTAAACATCACGTTCCACTATCGACTTCTGGGGCTTAACTGGTGCGCGTTCACTTTCATGCATACGTTGTTGCTGGCAACGCCTGGTCTGACGAGGGTCTGGAAAAAGTAGGTCTAGCCTCGTACGTAGTCGACGCCCAAACATTGCCTCCCCAGGGCTCTTTCCGATAGACTCTAGCAGTGTGATCCGATATGCGAACAAGAATCGGTCAAGTTTGGTTCGTAACGAGCCATTACGCTGCCTTAGAAGACCAGCTTTCACGGTTTGGACCGCTCTTTCAGCTAAACCGTTTGACGTTGGATGGTACGGTGCGGAAGTCATGTGATGAACGCCGTTGCTCTGCAGGTATTCTTTGAACGTTGCACTCGTAAATTGCGGACCGTTGTCAGTGACTAATGTTTTCGGTATGCTATGTGTAGATAGGAGAGAGCGTACGTTATTGATTGTAGCTTTTACAGTAGCTTTTGCAAAAACATGTACATCAATCCATTTGGAGTACGCCATTACTAAAAGTAGCAACATGTTTCTTCCGATCGGGCCAAAGTAATCGGCGTGGACACGTTCCCATGGGCTGTCGGGCAACTGCCAAGGGTGAATTGGGCCTGTTGGATTATCTCTTTGATATTTTTGGCATGTGTTACAAGTACTCAAAAGTGCTTCGATGTCTCGGTCAATCGCTGGCCACCAGCAGTAGGATCTGGCGAGGGCTTTCATGCGGACAATACTTGGATGTGCATCATGGAATTCTTTCAGTACAGCTGACCTGAGAGTCAATGGAATAACGATGCGAGATCCACGTAGGATACATCCTTCATGCAGGCTCAGCTCAAATCTACAATTGAAAAACGGACGCAGATCACCAGGGGCTCGCGAACCCCAGCCACGCAGCAGCATACGTTTCACAGTCGATAGAACGGGATCTCTGTCTGTAGCTTTCCTAACCATGTCGCCAGATATGGGTGTAGTATTCAGGGGTTGCAAAAGTTGAACAAACTCGTAGGGCGCGTCACTTCTTTCCTCCTGTTGGTCAATCTGTGGCAATCTACTGAGCGCGTCAGCGACATTATTGTGAGGACCGGCAATGTATCGGATTCGATAATTGTAAGCAGAAAGTAGGAGGGCCCAGCGTACCATTCGGGGTGCGTTAAGTTGTTCTATGCCTCGTTCCTTCCCGAGAAGTGATAACAGTGGTTTATGGTCAGTCTGTATCTCAAACTGGTTGCCCCACAAGTACTGATGGAACCGCTTTACTCCGAATACTACGGCCAGTGCTTCCTTGTCTAATTGTGCGTAATTTTTCTCAGCAGATTGTAATGTGCGGGACGCGAAAGCAATAGGGCGAACTGCTCCGTCGTGGACTTTATGTCCCAGCACTGCCCCGACTCCAAAAGGTGAAGCAGCACACTGTAGGATGAGGGTTTTGTTGGGGTCGTAATGTACCAAGACTGGTGAAGAATCAAGGAGACCTTTTGCCCTGTCCAATGCTTGTTGCTCTTCCTCGTCCCATGCCCACTTAGAATCTTTTTTCAGCAATTTGTGAATTGGTGCTAGAACAGAAGCAAGATTAGGTGGGAAACGACGATGATGTGAAAGCATTCTAACGAACGAGCGTAACTGGACTCCGTTACGAGGTGAGGGTGCAGAAATAATGGGTTGTAATTTATCTTTCCGCGCGTGTAAACCATGCTTGTCCAGTCTATAACCGAGGTAGTCAACTGAATCAACTAGGAAAACACATTTGGAGCGTTTCAAACGCAAATAGTGTTCAGAGAGTTTATGCGACACCCGGTCCAACGTGTACAAGTGCTCCTTTTTTGTGCGACCCGTGATAAGGATATCATCGAGATATGCGCAAGTGTTCGGTATGTCAAGCACGATATTGTCAATTATCCTTTGGAAGATCGCCGGCGCTGAGTTAATTCCGAAAGGCAGTCTAGTGTATTCGAATAGCCCCAAATGTGTACTGATCGTCGTAAGACGTCGGGAGGTCTCATCCAACTCTACCTGCGAATAGGCGTGACTCAAATCCAATTTAGTGAACTTGACTCCTCCAGACAAGTTGGCATACAAATCCTCAGTTTTCGGTAATCGATAACGGTCTATGATGGCACCTCGATTTACTGTAAGCTTATAATCACCACAGTTTCGTACGTTACCGTCGGGCTTAAGTACAGGCACTATCGGGGCCGCCCATTCAGCTTGTTGGACTGGTACAATTATACCTTCTCTTTGAAGCCTTTTCAGCTCGTCTTCCACTCTAGATCGTAAGGAATAGGGCAGTGTTCTGGCCTTAAAGAATTTTGGTTTACTCGAGTCTGACATATGGACTTTTGCTTTAAAATTATTGAGTCTGCCCAATTGCTGTTCGTCAAACACTTCTGGATATCGTTTAAAGACCGATTCAAAGGTATCCTCCCCCACGGAGTGGATAGTATTTAGTACTTGTGGTAACATTTTCATCCAATCGCGACCAAGCAAATTAACTGGAGCCTGAGGCACGACATGAAGTACCAGACTGTGTGATCTACCCTGATGCTGCACTCGTACCTGACACTTCCCAAGTAAATCAATCACTTCTCCTGTATAGGTTCTAAAAACGGTATCAGTCGGTTCCAGGTCGGGTAACGATGAGAGCGCGTTTTTACTAATCAATGTCACCGCGGAACCAGCGTCCAATTCAAATAAAACAGGTTCGTTATTAACATGAAGCTTGATCCTATATGGAGACACTTTCGTCATAACTGAGCAGTTTGAAATTATATGGTTCATAAAATTTAGCTGGGAATCTGGGCACTCATCGTCGTCGGAGTTCGATGATTTGATCGAGACTTGTGACCGTGGGGAACGGCAAACACGTGCCAGGTGGCCAAGTTTTCCGCAATTTATGCACTTTGTGCGAGTATGAGGACACTGGGTGGAAGAAGTGTGCTGATCCCCGCATCGGTAGCAGACGAACTTCCGTACCCTGTTTTCAAAGGATAACCGTGGTGACAGTTTGTTTACACATTCCACAGGCTGAGGAGGGTCGAAAGTGGATAGTTGGGATTTTAGGTTTTCCCTTTGACGTACAAGGTTACACGCCATTTCCCAGGAAAGGGTTTCTTCCTCCTGTGACAATAATTTTTCCCTCGCACCATCATCTGTAACTCCACCAATTAGGCACTGGATTTTCATGACTTCTTCAAACCGACTTGAGGGAATGGTATTGTACCGGCATTCCGGTGTAGCTTGATGAATGCGGGCAATGAAATCATTTACACCTTCTCCGCATCGTTGCTGTAGCTTGAAAAACTGATAACGAGCGGAAAACACACTTTGTTGGATTCCCCACAATTCCTCAAACAACTGGATCACGTGCACAATAGTGGTCTTAGCCATCAAGTTCATAGCGTCAAAATGACGTTGTCCTTCTGATCCAAGGGCTTGGCGGAATAACGTAATCCAATGGGTATCAGATAACACGATAGAGGGGTTTAACACAGGAAAGAGAGTCATTTGATGTTGGAAAGATGTTTTCCACTGTATCCACGACTGTAGAGAGAGTTTTTCTGCACCACCAGACCAAAGCATTACAGTCCCGCAAGAGGGCTCGTAGCAACCGTCGCCATTCTGATACGTATTACTCGAGTATTGCTGGATAGCACCTGGACCCTTAGTCCGCGCAAGAAGTGAATAAGAACACACCGGATGGGACGTGTCAAAAACTGTAATGGTAGCTTGTAGGTTACACCAGATGAATAAGTCGAAAAGGAACCAATCAGTACAAGGAAAAAGAGTGGGCGAATCAGCTATCGGCCAATCGATCTGTATGTGCCTGTGTTTTGCTCATCGGTTTAGCAGACGACACACATGTAACAGGAAGCAAGATCCGCGACAAAACTACCCCTTGTAGGTAGCAAACGAGTTTACCAAAAAGGTGCGTATTAGGAGACCAGCTATTAGACATTCATTTTTAGTGAGCGAGCTTAATAGCTATTCCTTACTCTTCTTATTTTCTCCTTCTTGACTGTTATTTAAACGCTCTACTGGGTTTGCCCGATTGGTACACTCGCGTCATTGTTAATGGACGCTCATCGTCATGTCCTTTTCAGCAGTGCCATTTGCAAGCACACATTCCATTGGTTTTTCTCATCACTGTTCTACTTGGTTATGTTAAAAGAATATTTGGTTGTCACGCGCTGATTATACTAGTTTTTAATTTTTGGGTCTGCATTTCTTATTCTCGTTTGTTTCGTGACATTTGTTTAAACGTTTCATTTCGTTATTCTGATTGGCCAGTGCCCGTCACTGTAAATGGATGTTCGCTTTACGCTTGGAGTCGCATGATGCTATTTTTAAGAACATATGCGATTCGCTCTTACGTACACGGTTGCCTATTCGCCCGTTGCATTTGACGTTTTTCCTTCTGTTGGTTGGCTCAAGTGTAATTTAGTAGCTTCCCTCCATTTTGGCTTCAAACTATATTAGCATCTGTGATTTTACGTATACAAGTCCCTTCCTGGCTCGCCTTTGGACTTCTTCTTGCGATCGTGTGGTGAAGACGTTTGCGGCGAGACAACAGACTTTCTGGCGACGGAGGTTCCTGTAATCATGTTGATTTCGTTCCAGCAAATGCCGACGCTTCTTCAACAACAACAACAACTGCAGTTTGAAAAATCTCAACGACAGTTGCTCGAGTTGCTGTCTCAGAAGCTGAACATCCAGAGCGAATCCCCGACGACAACCGCACGGCCATCTGTGGACGCCCTTGCTGCTTCAATCACAGAATTTGTTTTCGATGGATTGAACGGATTGACATTTGAATCCTGGTTCCTAAAGTATGAAGTTATTTTTTCGATGGAACTTACAGACCAAGACGATGTCTGGGAAGTTTGTTTGTTGTTAAGGAAACTTGGCGCAGTCGAGCATGAACGTTACACAAATTTCGTGTTGCCAAAGAATGCAAGAGACTTCAGCTTCGACGAGACAGTGAAAACGCTGATGCAGATATTCGGTGAGCAGGCCGCTCTGTCCAGTACTCGCTATAATGGTTTGAAGTTAGGCACACGCGATGCCATTGATTTTGTCACACATGCCGGGATCGTAAATTGCAAAAGTGAACGATTCAAACTGGGTATGATGACACATGATCAATTCAAGACTCTTATTTTCGTGTACAGTCTTCAGTCCCACGCTGATACCGATATTCCAACACGAATTCTTCACAAGCTCGAACAAGAACCACAGTTGACGCTGCAAGCGTTTACAGCCGAATGTCAGCGACTGATTAATTTGAAGCACGACACAAAAATGATTGAAACTGCTGATCACAGGACAGAACCCCAGATTTGTCGCACAGCTATCCATGGTAAAGTGATGAACCGGAGTCGGTCAACTCAGAAGCCCACGATCGCATGCTGGAATTGTGGCGCTTGGCATTTTGTGAGTGACTGTATCTACAAAGGGCATCAATGTCACAAGTGCAAGCGGTTTGGTCATAATGAAACCCACTGTCGAGTTGCGCACAATTTAAGACGTTCATTTCCCTCGAGATTGCGCACAAACATGACTTCCAAAGGGCTACATTTCATGGACCGGCCACAAAGGTAATTCTCGCTGCATTTCGCACGGAATTCACAGGCAAGAGGAAGTATTTAACAGTAAAAGTCAATGATATTCCAGTCACCTTGCAACTAGATACGGCATCCGACATCACAATCATTTTACGACCCACATGGAGGAAGCTTGGGAGACCATCATTCAAGCGCACAACTCTGACGGCTCAGAATGCATCCGGGGAACCGATGAGATTGCATGGAGAGATTGAATGTGAGGTCAGTTTCAAGTAACTGCAACTCCGTGGCACGATCTACCTAGTCTCATGCACCGACGTTAATCTTTTTGGAATCCACTGGATTGAGAAGCTGAACTTGTTCAGTGTACCACTGAATCGTGTCTGTGCTGAAAGGAATGTCATGGTGCACCATACAGCCATATCGACTCCTTCGGGTCAAAGCATCTCTGAACAGCTTCAAACGAAGTATGCGCGCGTCTTCCAGTAGGAACTTGGACACTAAGAAAATGCAGGCAAAACTTACTCTGCTTCCGGATGCCAGACCAGTGTTTCGACCTAGGCGTCCTGTCCCTTATGCTTCCCCAGCACTTGTTGAACAAGTGCTACGAAAGTATTCCTAGGTCGCATGCAAACACGAGCAGTGCAATCAGCCTCCAAATAAAACACACTAATCATAACGAAGTCAGCACAGATGAAGTAGCTCCACTTTGCAATAGCTCCGAAAAGGGTACGACGGAAGTATTAACCGAAACCGCCACCTATGCGCTAAAACGACAAACCATCTTACAAAGGTTACTCAGAAAACATTCAACGCACAAGAAATATAGTACTAGCAACCAAAATAAAAGTCTAATTACAAATGCGAATAACACCCCATCCATTAGTAAACTAGAACACATTCACGCTGCAACAAAAAAAGAGGTGCACGAAATGCAGTAATGCTTCCGATTAATAAAACGAAACGCAGCAGCCTTCAAAAAGAAGCAAGCAAACTTCATGTGGTAGATATATAAATCTTCTCAGCTAATTTCATTCATAAGACATTCAAACTCAGCCTTAAGGAAAACAGTTTCATTCATCCATCAAAATAATACTTAATCAAATATCGTCCTACGGCCGCGAACGCTTCAAAGCGGGCCACTCGTTGAGCGACCAATCTCAAAGCAACCAATTGCATAGTAGACCAGATCAGTTTACGACATGGATTACCAGCGAACGATTTTGTGTGGCCCAGTTCGCGTGCGATTTGGGGGTGCCTAATCGCGCTCGACACTCGTATCCAAGTATGGTTGGCTAAACTAAAGCTATACGCATGCAAGGGGGCATACACGTAAAACTCACGTGGCGCCATCCGCGCTTAGCAGTCACACGTGATCATGGTGGTTGGCACGTAATCTTTCAGGTACTTGCACTTCTACGTGAAATTTGATTGCACGGTGTGCTCGCGCAAGTCATCGCTGACCTCTCCGCATACTGCTAGGCATCCACATGGCTAGGTCCGAATGAATTGGCCGTAGGGAATAATGACATGAAGTTGCTCAAACATACCGCTGTCGAGCGTCAGCCGGCATGGAATTCAGGCTAGTGGTACCAGAGGGGCGGTCAGATCGTGTTGACCGTGCTGCGTTTCGAGGTGCGGCATCCTCGCTGAGCGCAATGATGAAAGGTCTGCGCTTGATGGATGTAGCGATCCGAATAAGGATGTGTGCGCGCACTGCACATTGACATCCTCACCGAGGTTTCACCCGCCGATTGCCTTTGTTACGCTGTTGCGCGACTGAGCTTGCTCCTGGGGAATATTTCAATCATCGCTTCTTGATACCCATTACAGTTGTTAATACGTGTAAGTGCCTGAGTGCGAAATCCAGCCGCACTTAATCATGCGTTGTGTTGTTCCGAAACCGACCGAATTTGATAGGTCATTTCACAGACGACACGGACGAACAGAAAAGAGATTTCCTCAAT